GGAAATTTGGGGATTTGGGGAATTTAAGGATTTCAGAAATTTAGGTATTTGAGGAATTTAGGGATTTGGGAAATTTGGGGATTTGTGAAATTTAGGGATTGAGGAAATTTAGAGATTTGGAAAATTTAGAAATTCGGGAAATTTACGAATTTGGGAAATTTACGAATTTGGGAAATTTAGAATTTTGGGAAATATAGAAATTTGGTAAATTTAGAATTTTGAGAAATGCAGAGTTTTTGGAAATTAAGGAACTTGAAAAATTCAGGGATTTGGAAACCTCCAGATTTTTTCTCAATTTAAAAATTTGGAAAATTAGAGATTCAGAAATATAAGAATATTTGGAAAACTTGATAAATATAACATCCTGAAATATTAAAGTTCACCTACCTCATCTTCCAAAATAAATCACAAACGATTCCTTCCCCCACACTCATCCTGAGTCAACGAAAGTTCATATTTCACGGAACTTGAACTTGACACTTCAGTATCTTCAGTCCACAAATCAATCTTCTGAAGTAACCTCACTATCTGCTTTTAATCACTAATAGACCCGATTGTTAAAAGCCGAGTCTTCAAGATTCGACTCTCATTTCTATACATTCAAACTGTCCTCTCAACTGTTCATTCGATCACTATCGACTGTACTTAATTTCAATCTTCGAATTCTATTTTCAAGTTTCTTTACGATCTTCATCAATTAAATTCCATTCAAACCATCTCGAAATCAAATCAAAGATCAAATCATTGACTCAATCAAAAACACGAGAAACTCAGAAGAACACACAGAAAGAGTCAGATAAAATTTCACTTGGGACAATTGTCTAATGTAAGCAATGATGTTGATGTAATCAATAATCAATTTCATGGATTGTTCGGTTTTGTTTGATATATCTTCGACTACTCTTCAGTATCGTCTCGTATCACAGTTCGCACGCGACTGAACATTCTTCGATCGTCGGTCGAAGCGTGCACGTTGAACGACGCGTTTAATCATCGCAAGAACGCTTGATTAATTTCGCATCTAGCATTATTTCGAGCTAGTAGGCTAGTTTTGTAGTTGACAAGATGGCAGTCCGCTCTGATTCGCTATGACACCTCGACCTGCAACGTTCACAAATTTCTTTTATTAAGCTTCTTATTTCTTATTTAGAGGTTGCAAGCTAGTTTCGGGGATGACAAGATGGCACTTCACTATAATATTTACTATTCTACTATTTACTATTTACTAATGTTATAATATTCACTAATATTTGTTATAATTCAGCACCTCAATCTTTAGGAAGGTTCACAAATTTTTTTTAGTGAGCTATTTATTCTTATTTTGAGGTTAAGAGCTAGTTTCAGGGTTGACAAAATGGCAGTTCACTATAATTTGTCATAGTTCTGTGCCTCAAGCCTTAGGAAGATTTACAAATTTTTTTGAGGAAGCTACTTATTATTTTTTTGAGATTGCAAGCTAGTTTCATTGCTGACAAAATGGCCGTTCACTATAATTTGTCATAACTTTGTACCTCAATTTTTAAGAAGGTTCACAAATTTTTTTTGTTAAGCTACTTATACTTATTTTGAGGTTAAGAACTAGTTTCGGGGATGACAAGATGGCAGTTCACTATAATTTGTCATAGTTCTGTGCCTCAAGCCTTAGGAAGATTTACAAATTTTTTTGAGGAAGCTACTTATTATTTTTTTGAGATTGCAAGCTAGTTTCAGGGTTGACAAAATGGCAGTTCACTATAATTTGTCATAAATCTGTACCTCAATTTTTAGGAAGGTTCATAAATTTATTTTGTTAAGCTACTTATTCTTATTTTGAACTAAAGAGCTAGTTTGGCAGTCGACAAGATGGCGGGTACCCTGATTCACCATTATTCTACCCCTCAATCTTTAAAATCGTTTACAATTTTCTTCAAAAAATTTGTTATTTCTGTTTTGAATTTAAATCATCATTAATTTAAATTTATATTTATTCATTTATTTCAAAGTAATAGTAGGACAAGTTAGTCAAAATGACTAGTTTCAAGTTCCACATTTTTGTTGCTGTATTTGTATCGAACATACATTATTATTTATCGAGATGCATCAGTATTTACTCATTTAAGACTTGATTTTTAATTTTGTTTCAAATTTAACAAGTTTGTATGTAATGCTTGTAGCTGTAGTATAAAAGTGACCATACATTTGTAGTATTAAAGTGACACACAAAGATGAGGACAATACATGAGGACAGGTAATGGGACCACATATGCTTTAGCTCAACTGCCATCTTGTCAGCTCCGAACTCTTGTTTACAATAACATATTCAATCGCCTTTTATGAGATGAACAGAACTACTGCCTCTAAATTTTTTTCCTATCATCGCATCGCAGGAACAACATTTCGTTATCGCAAGCGTTTCGCTCGACCGCCATTAATTATCGCGGCGATAGGGGTCATTGCTAATGCGGTACCACTTTCATGCAGAATCGATTTTCTTCTCAATTTTCAATCCACATCGCTTAAACGGAAAGCGCAAATAACGGAGTTTGCAGCAATTTTCACTGTGTACAGCGATGGATTCTATGACGGCTATTTATCGGAAGTATTTACTTGGCGAAACGGAAGTTCAAACGATGGAACTCAGTTTAGGATATTTGCATGAGGGACACAGTCGATCGGAGAACTTTGAATGGACGCAATTATGTAGACACTGTTGTAAGTGTTAATTACCGAGGGATGAATATTTGTATAACTGAGATTATTGCTCTTTGATGCGCGGATCTGTGAAGTTGAAAATTGAGATGTGGGCGTTTAAATTTGAGGAAATGAGATTTTGTGAATATCAAGAGTTCGTAATTTGAGAATTTGAAAGTTTGATTAAGTGAAGGTTCAAAATTTGGAAGACTGGTGATTTCATGATGTGAGAAGTTAACACTGCATATATGTTACAAATCGACAATGTAGCAATTCGGCAATTCAAAAATGTAGCAATTTGACAATGTGACAATTCAACGATGTAGCAATTTAACAACTTGACAATTCGACAATGTAGCAATTTGACAATGTCACAATTTGAGAATTTTAAAATGTAGCAATTTAACAATGTGACAATTCGGCAATGTAGCAATTTGACAAAGTGACAATTCGACAAAGTAGCAATTTGAATATGTGACAATTCGACAATGTATCAATTTGACCATGTGACAATTCGACAATGTAGCAATTGGAGAATCTTGTACTTCGAAAATGTAACAATTCGACAATGCAGCAATTAGAATATGTGGTAATTCGATATCGTAACAATTTGAATATGTAGCAATTCGACAATGTAGCAATTTGAATATGTGATAATTCGACAATGTAGCAATTTGACAATGTCACAGTTCGACAATTTTGCAATGTAGCAATTTAACAATGTGACAATTCGGCAATGTAGCAATTTGACAAAGTGACAATTCGACAAAGTAGCAATTTGAATATGTGACAATTCGACAATGTATCAATTTGACCATGTGACAATTCGACAATGTAGCAATTGGAGAATCTTGTACTTCGAAAATGTAACAATTCGACAATGCAGCAATTAGAATATGTGGTAATTCGATATCGTAACAATTTGAATATGTAGCAATTCGACAATGTAGCAATTTGAATATATCGCAATTCGAAAATGTGGCAATTTGACAATGTGGCAACTGGACAATGTTGTCCTTCGAAAATCTGATAATTCGACAATGTTGCAATTCGAATATGTAGCAAATCGAAAATATGGCAATTTGAATATTTCACAAGGTTACAATTTAGAAACTAAAAATCCTAAAAACTTGAAAACCTGTAAACTTGATAATTTAGTAATTTTAAAATTCGAAAACTTGAAAACCTATAATCTTGAAATCCTTTTAAACATTAAAGTCCTGAAGTCTTGCAAACTTAAAAAACCAAAAATGTATAACTCAAAAAAAGTACAAGCAAACACACTATAACTCAAACCAACTCGAAGAACAGAATTCATAAAATATTTCCACCACTAAAATGTTCCACAAAGAGTTCCTTTAAAATGGAACGAAGGCCCGTGAATGAAACGCGTTTCATTCAATAGAATTTACAATTTAAAGAGATCTCTGTTCATAAAATAGTAGCAATTTGACAATGTCACAGTTCGACAATTTTGCAATGTAGCAATTTAACAATGTGACAATTCGGCAATGTAGCAATTTGACAAAGTGACAATTCGACAAAGTAGCAATTTGAATATGTGACAATTCGACAATGTATCAATTTGACCATGTGACAATTCGACAATGTAGCAATTGGAGAATCTTGTACTTCGAAAATGTAACAATTCGACAATGCAGCAATTAGAATATGTGGTAATTCGATATCGTAACAATTTGAATATGTAGCAATTCGACAATGTAGCAATTTGAATATATCGCAATTCGAAAATGTGGCAATTTGACAATGTGGCAACTGGACAATGTTGTCCTTCGAAAATCTGATAATTCGACAATGTTGCAATTCGAATATGTAGCAAATCGAAAATATGGCAATTTGAATATTTCACAAGGTTACAATTTAGAAACTAAAAATCCTAAAAACTTGAAAACCTGTAAACTTGATAATTTAGTAATTTTAAAATTCGAAAACTTGAAAACCTATAATCTTGAAATCCTTTTAAACATTAAAGTCCTGAAGTCTTGCAAACTTAAAAAACCAAAAATGTATAACTCAAAAAAAGTACAAGCAAACACACTATAACTCAAACCAACTCGAAGAACAGAATTCATAAAATATTTCCACCACTAAAATGTTCCACAAAGAGTTCCTTTAAAATGGAACGAAGGCCCGTGAATGAAACGCGTTTCATTCAATAGAATTTACAATTTAAAGAGATCTCTGTTCATAAAATATGCACTTTGTTTACCGAAGCTGACGTTCAGCAAAGTGTTTACACGCTTTTTTCTTCATCGCGAAAGCTGCCTAGACATATTGGACATAACCCGTTCAAGTAAATTGAAGATGCCTCTCAGCGTTTCAAACAAACAGTATCAAGAAATCACGATTTACAAGACTCTCAGTCATTCTTTAGACATATTCTTCACAAACATAACAAACACTTCAGACGAAATTATGAACAGAAGACGCTTTGATAGCATTCAACAGGATCATTCACAATTTACGTGCTAACCATTTCTAAGAGGGTTACAAGGATTATAATCACAAGGGATCACGATCAAGGAAGCTTTATATAAAAATACATTATTCATGAAAGCTTTGATATACAAAGAATGGACTTATTTTTGGTGTCGTTTGCATTTCGGGATTCATTTTTGAAAGGAACGGAATCTTTTGAGGGGTTTAGTGATATGTGTGAGGTGACTTTTCGTGAATGCTTGTTTTCTTAAATATTTTTGAGGAGGTGTATTTCGGTGAGAGGTATATTTCAAGTTATGAGAGAGTCAAGCATTCATTTTGGAAAGAAAAATTTACGATTGGTTAACGAGACTTCACATAAATAAATGTCTCAAGATTTTCAGAAGATAAATAAATGTCTCAAGATTTTCAGAAGATAAATAAATGTATATTGACTTACATTCACACTCTTGGTATAATTTAAAAAAAAGTCACAATTCACAATACACAAACTTCTTCACCAAACAGCAAACTTCTTTTGCAGTCATATAAAGCTTCACAGAAAGTATTCACAATTTCAATTAATATTTTCAAATTTTTCAAGAACACGGTTTCTGTAGCTACACTATGCATCATTTACAATAATGTGCAAACACAAATTAGTTGATGAGAAACATCACAATTTTTTGATATCACACTTCACAGTTACTCGTTGAATTTTGGTGGAGTCTTATGATTTTGTGAAATGACTGAAACTTTTGCGATCTTGTAGAATGATTTAAAATGGTCTTATGAAATAACTAAAACTATAGCAATTTTGCAGAATAACTTCAACTGTTATGATGTTATAAAATAACAAAAGCTATAGAGATTTTGTGAAGCAACAGTTCTTGTGATTTTATCAAATAATTAAAACTGTTGAGATCTTGTGAGATGGCTTACACTGTTGCGATCTCGTAAAATAATTAAAACACCTGCCATTTTGTAGAACCAACTCTTGCGACTTTATAGGGAAACTCAAACTCTTGTAATCATAAAATAATTCACACTCTCATGATTTTGTAAAATAAAACTATTGTGATTTTATCAAATAAAATTTGGGATTTTGTGAAATGAAGTTCCTGCGATCTTGAGGAGTAACTAAAACACCAGAGATTTTATGGAACAGTAAACTTGCGGTTTTTTAGAGTAACTCAAACTCTTGCAATCTCATAGAGTAACTCACACTCTTGTAATTTAATAAAATAAAACTTTTGTAATTTTTTAAAATAATAAACTCTTATCTTGTGGAGTAACTAAAACACCTGCAATTTTGTAGAACAGTAAACTTGCGATTTTTTAGAGTAACTTAAACTCTTGCAATCCCATAAAATAACTCACAGCCTTGCGACTTAATAAAATTCCCCCAATTCCAAATTCCTCTAGTTCCAAATTCCCCCAATTCCAAATTTCCCCAATTCCTAATTCCCCCAATTCCCAATTCCCCCAATTCCAAATTCCCCCAATTCCAAATTCCTCCAATTCCAAATTCCCC